TTGAACAACACTACGAAATCTGCCAAACCAAACTCGTGGAGATTGCTTAAGACCATATAAAGACTTGCGAAGACGACAAACAAGACCTGATTCTCCTTGAGCAACGAATCCAAGAGATTTCTCCATATAAACTTCCTTCGCCATATCATCATGAAGAAAAATATTCCTAACATCAAGTTGATAAAGAGGCCAATGACGTATATCAGCCATGGCAATGAAAAGATGAATAGAAGATATTTTTTCCACAAGGGAAAAGTGTCACCATAATCTAGCCTAAACACCTGAGTAAAACCCTTTTGCCCCCAAACGAGCTTTAAGGCGATCCACTTGACCATCAGGACCAACCTTAACAGCATAAATCCAGCGGCAGCATACAACAGATGATATAGGTCATGAAACTCACATCCTTTGATAATCTCTTTCCCCGAACTCTGATCCTGAAATATGATGGAGGTTTTAATGAAGGAAACAACACAACCAATGGATTTTGTCAAATGACTAATAGAAAGTAAGTTAAAAAGAGAATTTGGAACATAGACAACAAGATCTAGAGATAAATGAGGTAAAAAAAGAACCGTGTCGATTCCACGGGATTAGACCAGAGATCCATTGGCTATAGTAATAGTAGAAAATGAACCAATGGTACAAAGAGAAGTGAATAAGGATTTATTACCAGAAATGTGATCAGAAGCCCCAGAATCAAAAGTCCAGTGGCCTAGAGAGTGTAACTGAGAGATCCCAGCAAAAGAATTACCAGTGGGAGCGATGGATGCAGTAGGACCAGATGCTTGCTTCTCAGACCACCAAGTCATGAATTTATTAAGAAGAACTATAGGAGGTTGAGCAGTAGAAGGTAACCCTGGAGCAGGAGCATTAGAGGAAGCCTGAGCAACATGAGCATTCTGAGGAGGCTGAGGTGGCTTGCCATGGAGCTTCCAACAACGGTCAACAGTATGATTGGTCTGAGGACAATGAGTGTATAATAGCTTTTCCTTAGAGGGTTTACGTCCACGACCATAACTCTGAGCAACAAGGGCAGAAGAGTCAATAGTGTCGACCAGAGGTACATGGGTCATAGGAGGTGCTGGTGATGTAAAGGGCTTAGATGGAGTCCTAAGCAAGGTAGACATCACAGAATCTAGCGTAGGAATTATAGCAGAACCCTAAATTTGGTCCCGATCGGCAAGCAAATGGGAAGTTAAACCATATAAAATAAACAGCATAAAAAGGGTATTACGTTGTTCCTGCTCCTTGGTAACATCACCAGCAAGGGGCAGAAGTTCATTAAGATCATAAAGCAAAATTTGAGCTTTCCCTAAATACACAAACGTAGGACAATTGAAATTCCGAAGGGCAAAATTAGTCATCAATTTCAGATCCACACCATAGAGTCGTTGTGTATTATTGGTGTACAATGCCTTTTCCTGACTCCAAATAGCTTCACAAGTATTGGCAGGCCGAAAAATCTGCTTATTGAAGGATGAATAGTAGCTTTAATGAGACTGCACAACTAAGCATCAATCATCTTCCATCGTGTGTACAATATTGAATAACGAGAAATGAAAGGAATTGTGAAATAATCTATATATTGAATAGGTACAAGTGTGTACAATATATAAAAACCTAATGGGCTTAGCCCAGACTTAACCTAAATACCAATAAGAAAAATATATATTTGCGAGAAATGAATTGGTATATTGGAACAAAGAAGGAAATATCAGGCATGGTCGTAGCCAACGAGTTAATGAAATACAGAGGCATCAGAGTATGAGATTGGAGCAGTGAGAGATGGATGGGTTCCGAGCATCATGAACGTGAAGAGATTTGCGAGAAATACAAAAATAAAGGTATATGTTATATTGCTATATTCTTCAGCAAAATTTTAACATAATAAAAAGGAATGGTTATACTTAGAGTATGTTTGGTAACTCTCTTTAAGTTTAAAGCTACTTGTAAGTTAATGCTAAAAAAAGAATTTTAAAAATAAAACTACAAGTTATTTGATAATTATATAAAAAATTTAACTTAAAAACTGTTCATTTAAAAAAAAGCACATATTTTAAAAAAAAAAGCTGATACAACTTGAAAAAACTCCTTTTAGGAACTTTTGACTTTTGGCTTTTTTCTTCGTTATTGTTATGGATATGAATATCATATCCCAACTACCTATTAGAATATCTAATCAGATATAGAGTCACCAACATCTCAACAACTCTAAACAGCCAAAGGGCACAAGATGAGGATCGCATCCCAACAGAAAGGGAGTTGAATCCTATTGTAATTGGGGGAGCTCAAAAGGCCCAAGCCTAGGAAGGTAATCCTATAAATAAGAGCTTAAAGACCCCAGGTAAACACTTTTAACCTATTTACTAATACTGCCCACACTGTGCACACACTCACCCTTGGCTATAAGCCTATTGCTTGTGCGCAGTGATTGGGACCTTGGCTATAAGCCTAGTATACACTTGATATACACTATCTCTGAGCGCATACCCTACGGTATAGCAATACGGTCTATCCAGGACCCAACAGTTATAAAAAAGCTCTTTTATTATAAGAGCTTGTGTAAAAACATGTTTGCTCTAACTTCTGCTATAAGAAGAAGACAAACTAAAAAAGAGAGGATTCGAACTAGCACGTACCACCATTTTAGATTTAGTATTCTTATTACATGTTCGGTTACCGTTGAATCAACTTGAAATCAATAATTAAAAAAGAAGAAAAATTAATTGCCTGCTACTAATTCACTAGTAGGATTAATTTAATATTTTTGTAAATTAATTTGTATGTCATTTATAAAACCTTAGGATAATAGCCTAATTCACTATTATAATTAATTAATTAGGTAATTATAATTAGTGAATTAATTTAATATTTTTTGCGTAAGGTTCTTGTCATATATGCATATCTATTATTTTAAATTTTAATTTGACATATTTATCTATAAGTTATTAACTTACTACCTATATATAATTCTTTAATAATATATTTAATTGATTTAGATGACATAAAAATTGTAATCAATATCAATTAATATAATTATTAGAATCAATCAATCAAATATTTGTATATTTTTAACGGGAACAAAATGAGCAAATTGATTTAATTCTTAACAAAAATACTACCTACCTTTAAATAAATTATGTAATACTATTGTCCACCAAAAAAAAAATCATGTAATACTAATTTTTTTTTGAAATATTGTTCCATGATTTTTAGTTTTTATTAAAAAAGATGACACACATAATTATTATTGTTAGTAGGGGTGTAAATAGGCTAGGTTAGGCTAAGCTTTGGCTTAAATAGCTAATCCTGTGTAAAATATTTTAGGTCTAGTCTGATCTATTAGCCTTATATAGGTCCAAATTATAAGTCTGATTTGACCTATATTTAAAGAATAAAAGTCTTGGTCTAGGCCTGTTAGTTTGTTTAAACTTATTAAACATTCAATAATTAAAAATAATTAAAATGATATTACTTTATTATTCAAAATTATTAAAATAATAATTTTATTTATTTTTTTATAAAAAATAATATGAAATAGATTGGCTATAGGCTTATAGGCCCGACATATAAAAGAAAACATGTGACCTGTTTTTAAAATAAAGTTACAACTGTTTGATAATTATATAAAATTTTAGCTTAAAAACCATATATTTCAAAAGAAGCACACATTTCAAAAATAAAATAAAATGATACAACTTGAAAAAGCTCCTCTTAGAAGCTTTTGACTTTTGGCTTTTTCCTTCGTTATAAGAAAAGCTATTTTTTTTTTTACCCAATGGGTGCAGCTCAGTTGGTAACTTGGCGCTGAGTTAGTGGGGTTGGATATGTGTTCGATTCCCGCTGAATGCATTCTTGGGGTGGGGGCTGAACCTTTAGCCATCACTGTTCCCCCGCACTCCGGATTAGTCCCATAGCCGGCTCAAAGAGTCGAAGCTCGTGGGGATACCGGAGGGAGCCAACTCGTCTCAAAGAGATAATTAGGGTTGGGTAACTCCAAAAAAAAAAAAAAGCTATTTTTTTCGGTAAACAAAGCTCTTTTTATTATAAGAGTTTGTGTAAAAATATGTTTGGTCTAGCTTATGCTATAAGAAGAAGATAAGCTAAAAAAGAGAACATTCAAACAGGCACTTACCACCATTTTAGATTTACTATTCCTATTTACTGTTGAATCAATTGGAAATCAACGATTAAAAAATAAGATAAATTAACTGCCTGCTACGAATTCACTATTAAGATTAATTTAATATTTTTGTAAATTAATTTGTATGTCATTTATAAAACTTTAGGATAATAGCCTAATTCACTATTATAATTAATGAATTAATTAATTAGGTGATTATAATTAGTGAATTAATTACATATTTTTTGCGTAAGGTTTTGTCATATATGCATATCTGTTATTTTAACTTTTAATTTGACATATTTATCTATAAATTATTAACTTACTATATATAATTCTTTAATAATATATTTAATTGATTTAGATGACATAAAAATGGTAATCAATATGAATTAATATAATTATTAGAATCAATCAATCAAATATTTGTAAATTTTTAACTTGAACAAAATGAGCAAATTGATTTAATTCTTAACAAAAAAAGAGTACCACGAAATGGGACATTAAACAGAAGTTTGAAGAAATACTAAAGAATTTATAAAATAAAAATACTAAAGAAAAAATTCAAGCTGCAATGATCATAGTAATGAAGAAGAATGCAAATTAAACATCAATTGTGTAATATCATAATGATTTTTTTGGTCATTAACTGGCTTGAATTCTAATGAAAGGTAAGAATTTATATTTTATATTATTTGTTAGCATATTATTCTTATCAAGAAATCACTCTTTCACTCTTTCAAACTTATTATTCTAATGATCATATTATTTGTTATTACAAGAAACCACTCTTTCACTCCAACCAAACCCAAGTCTAAACAGAGAATTCATCTAATCAAAACATTGAGTAGGGAATTAGCAATCCCACTAAAACCTAAAATCTAGCGATCTTGTCTGCCTTAATCGAAGGATTAGCCTTGGAAATCACATCACGTCCGGCACCCTTGAAATCATACGAGCATTGGTGCTTCTCCGGATAACGATGTGTCCCACAGAAGGTGGTCCCACACTTGCACACAAACCCTGTCAAACCCACTTTCTTGTTACAACTCCCGCAACGGTTCGCTACCTTCGACGGCTTCGACAGCTCTGAGGACGAGGAGGGCTCCGCCACACGAATGGCCACGTCGAGGGATGGCACTACGGCGGCTTCGACGGCGGCGGCACTGGAATGGAGCAGGGATTTCTCCATGGTGGCTTTGGCCGAAGCAGCATGAGCTTCTTGAATACACACGTCTCTGAAGCATTTGGAACAGAGGTTCCGATTCTTGGCTGTGCCAAAGAAGCCGCAGTTGTTGGCGCAGGGCTTCCGCTCTGAAGGCTGATAGCTTGTTCCTTCGTTCTGCTGAGAACCCATATTGGTGCCTTTAGTGTTGTGTGCTCTTTTGTTAGAGTTGTCTTGTGTTCTTTTCCTTAGGGTTGTAACGAAGTGAATTGAAAATATTTATAGACTGCAATTAGGGACGATTATGGCAAGTTTTTAAATTTTATCTTGGAAAATCTATTAAAGAATTATGCATAAGGTGGTGTTTGGTTGGGAACTTTTCAGCGGATATCTATTTTTCTCAAATATGACTTTTAGAAACATCATGTTTGTTTCAACGTTTTTCACCAAAAGCCCATCTATCCAATTTGACTGGATTTATGAGAAACATAGATATCCGCACTGTTTAGAAATCCAATTTGAAGGTGAGATTTTTCGGAAAATCGATTATCTGGCTTTTAATACACTGTTGATTTCATAAAGTTACATAATTTTTCCAGTAAAGCTTTTCCCCACCAAACAACTTTTTTTACATTTTTTCTACCTATCTCACTTTATCTATCTTTCCAATCATTTCTTTATCTATCTGATTTTCCTACTATTCCAAAAAAATTTCCTGAACCAAACGCCCCCTAAAGATTATTATATACGGAAAGATTTTAACTATATTCTTGATCTCCAACATTATTATTGTCCACAGATGCGGTTATGGTAATTATTTAATTAAGGTTAATAATTTATATGCATATATTTTCCTTTTCTTTTTTGTAAACAAAAATTGATTTAGTATCTGTCCATTTAAATAAAATAATAATTTTAACTAAAATAATTATCCTTTAAAAAAAATATTTTTCCCAAAAATATACTTTCCTTTTTAATATTTAGAGAAAATTTATCAAGAATGGTTTTAAAAAAAACCTATTCATATAATTTTCTACAAGCAATTACACCAAAAAGTTTAAAAAAAAAAAGAAAGACATTAAAATAATATAAACTTCCCATATGGAAAAGATATTCTTGTTTTTCCCACATAAATTTTTTCTTTGTCACACTCATATAAAAATGAGTGGATTCCATTGAAAAGAGAAGAAAAAAATTGTGAAATTCATACATTTTTATGTGAACACAATCGAGAAAAAATTTTAGCAGTACAAACAGAAATGTTAAACCCTTTTCATATGCGATGGGTTTGATGTTTGTCATTTTAAATGGTATAAGTTATGTCATTTTAAGAAAGAGATAGATACAAGTAATGAAAATTATGAGAGAGAAAATGGGTGATTTTTTAATTTAAATTTTAAATAAAAAAAATTATTTTGTGTCTATCTCTCTCTTAAAATGACATAATTTTATGTCATTTAAAATCACACTTTTTTGTTATCAAAAAAAAAAAAATCACACTTTTCCGATTACCAAAAAAAAAAATCACACTTTTCCGATATGCGATTGTCATTACATGTATTTAACAATATTATCGTTGTTAATTATTATGTGTAAATTTTTTTGAAAATAATTATCTTAATATTATTAAATATTACTTTTAAGTTTATTTAAACCTAGGAAAAAATTATCAAAACCTAATTAATATGGGTTAGAAAGTTAATAATAATAAATTTTAAAAGTGAAAAAACATTATGTTGTCTTTAGATATAATCTATAGTATTATTAAATTGTAATTATTTATTATGAAATATAACATGAAAGATAAATAATGATACGATTTAGCTCCCAATTTTATATAATTATTTTAAACATATTGTTTGGATAGATAGTAAAAAACATAAAAATCAAATTAGAATGTAATAGAATTAGAGTTGTCAAAATGGACAAGTCCGTCCCATTTGGCTCTAGCCCGTGTAGGTTAGGGCCAAATGAATATAAAAAATAAAGCCCCGTAAGGGGCCAAAAGTTTTATTGGTTAGGGTCAGTCCACAGGCTATCTAAAATTATAATTTCATAATTTTTGTTATCATGTTCAATACATTAAAAAATATTTTAACAAATAAGTATTTAACATTTTTTAACATATTTTATACAAATTATAATTTTTTTAAAATTTAATTATTTTAATAAAATAATTTTTATACACAAATATATGAGTGAAAATGTAAATAAAATTTTAATATAAGTGAAAATTTAGTTACTACTTTTACTAAATTCATTATTAAATGATGCCATCAAATAGAAATTTTCTCAGTGGGAATCATAACAGAATACAATAATTATAGTGGAAAACTAAAAGTAATGATGGAAAAAATTATCTTAATATCAGTATTGAATAACTGCTCTTAATATGCTATATATTTGAAAGTAAAATCATTGATTTTTTTTAACTACTATCGTTACAAAAAAAACATTTTATTTATTATTATCCACAAAATTATTAAAGAACATTGTATACACTATGTTTAAGTACAAATTCTAATATATATAACATGCTTAAATGTCAATAAATTTTTTTATTTTTTTGATGCAATGATGAAAATCTCTGTTAAAACATATCACTGCTGAAAAATTCATTTTTGTTGTAAAATATTATGGATGAACTTTCACAAGATTTATAACACGTGACTCTTTATTTTTCTTGACCTTTGATATATTCTATAACCATCACAATAATGATATGTTGAATTGTAGAAAACATTCAAAGAGGGTGTTATAAAATATTATGGATGACCTTTCACATGAATTATGGATGATCTTTCACATGATTCGTAACATATGACTCTTTGTTTTTTCATGACTTCCGTATTTAAAAATGCATATAAGATATTTCCTTATATAGGACTTTTTTGCTCATACTTATTCTTACTTTTATTTTTTTTCTACACTTCATTTTCCTTTCTTTCATATTTCACTCTCTCTTATATTCTCCACCAAATTCACAACAATTTTTAATTATATTTATAAATACCTAAGGTTAATAACTTGATATACATATATTTTCCTTTCATTTTTAAAAAAATATGGGATTAATTAGTGTTTGTTCTCTTAAAGGACATAGAATCATGTCATTATAATAAAAAAATGTGTTCTTTTGTTAGCGTTGTCTTGTGTTCTTTTTGTTAGGTTGTAATAACGTGAATTGAAAAATATTTATAGACTGCAATTAGGGACGATTATGGCAAATTTTTAAATTTTTTATGTGAAAATCTATTAAGGAATCACGTGGATATCTCACGGAAAGATTTTAACTAGTATTTTTGATCTTAAGGTTATTATTGTCCGTAGAGGCGGTTATGGTACTTAATTAATGGGTAAAGAATTTTTCAAGTCAATGGAGATATCGGTGAGCCCTAAACGATGTCGTTTTGGAGCGAAAATCAAAGTATTTTATAATTCTAATATATTGCAGGGTTATATTAGTCTTTATTATTATAATTTTTAATTTTATGACCCAAAATAATGTCATTTTAAGCTCACTGAAGAACTTTATCTCCAGTGACTGGAGAAATACTTTTTCCTTAATTAATTAAGGTTATTAATTTGATATACATATATTTTCCTCTCTTTTTTTTGGAAACAAAAATTGAATTAGTATTTGTCCTTTTAAATAAAAAAATAATAGTTTTAACTAAAATAATTATCTTTTAAAAGAATAAATATTTTTCTCAAAGTATATACTCTCTCTTTCTGGTAAACTATACTTTCCTTTTTAATATTGAGAGAAAAGTTATCAAGAATGCTTTAAAAAAAAAGCTATTCATAAAATTTTCTTCGAGCAATTACACCAAAAAGTTTAAAAAAAGAAAGGGATCAAAATAATATAATTTTCCCATATGAAAAAGAATTGCTTTTACTGTAGAAAATGTTTCTCTATCACACCCGTGTAAAAATGAGCGAATTTCATTGTAAAGAGAAAAATTTTATGAGATTCATTCATCTTTATATGAAAGTTGTCGATAAAAAATTTCTAGAGTAGAAGCAGAATTGTTAAACCCTTCTCATCTATGCTGTTGTCATTGCATGTAATAATATATGGGATGATTTATAAATTACATTTTTATATTTAATTCGATGGTTTAGCATGTTGGAAATAAAAGTATTTTTAAAATAATAAATTTAAAATTTTACTATTTCATTTGCTTCCTTTAAAAATTTTAAACAATAAAATAATTTGTTTTCTATTCCATAATTAAATATCCAAATAATGATAGAGGAATTTTTTTCATTTCATTCAATCCATTGTACATCATTCTATTCATCATCATGAAATATTCAAACAAGGCGATCATGCCTTTTTTTTAAGGGTAAGATAAATGAATTACCAATGAAGAGCAAGAAATAATCAACATTTATCCTTTTATATTTATTATAAAACTTTGAATGAGCAACTTCATTTTTATATTTATGTTTAAATTTGTAAATGCCTTTAAAAGAAATTAAGATTAAATGTACTAAAAATTCTATCATTTGTTTACTTATCCTTAAAGAAGTAATTTATAAATAGGGGGTCCATGGTTGAGTTTAGGGGTCTTTTTAATCTAAATTACTCATCAAAATTGTGGATTCAATTTAACCCAACACATTTGTTGCAACCATATCACAACGTGACGCCAATAAATTGGAAATTGAAGAAATGAAATTGTCACTGAGATTTATTTGGAAAAATATTAAAAAAAATCTTTTGTTGAGAAAAAATTATCCGTGAAAACAATAGTATATTTAGGAGTCGATTATGAGAAGAAAGGTGCTAGTATCCTAACACCTTAAATTAATTGTGCGATTTATTAATAAAATTTAAAATATTTATTTCATCCTAAAGAATTAAACTAAATCGATTATTTGCAAAGAAGATTAAATTGTAAAAAAGAAATTGAATTTTATCTGGCTCCATCATATCCCTTCGAGTAAGAGCTAAAAAATATGTCGATCTTTAGAAAATATTTATGTGTTGGTAGGTTTTAATCTTTTGAGATTATTTTGCATAGAGTTTAAGATAACTTAGTCATGTGTAGACTATTTATGAAATTTACAATGTTTGAGAATGACAAGTCATACAATCAATGTTATAGATTATTGCAAGGTTTATGGAAAAACTATAACAAATTTATTTAATAGATGAGCTAAATTTAAAATTTTGGGAGACCAAT